CTATAACCAGGGAACAATCAACCTGTTGATCTACTGAATATTTTGGATGGTCTCCAGTTTGACACCCTGTCGTTTGTCTCTGTCACCAGTGAACTTTAGAATAAAATGTTCATTCAATTTTACAGCTTAGAAAGGCATTAGAGATTTATCTAATCCACCCCCTCATTTTACTGATGAAGCTTCTCAGACATAGACAGATGTAGAGAGTTAAATTTTTCCATTTTTATGAGAACATGAAGTACAAGCCCAGAAAACATACTCTGAGTCGTTCAGGGTAGTGCTGAATTTGCATATTCTGCTTGGTTGTCTCTGCGAGTATACCTGCTCTTGTCAGAGCATGGGGTCCAATATGGGATTTGGAAAAAAAAATGATCACCTTATGGCTCAAAAAGTAATGTTCAGAAAAATAAAATGTTCAGAAAATCTGGTTTGGCTTTTGCATCCGCACTGAGATACACAAGCTAGTGAAAAAAAGAGAATAGAAACATGTTCTACTCCTTTTCTTTTCTCGTTTTTTAGCCTCCATGAAAATATGTGTTCTGAGGGAGAAACTGTGAGCATCTGAAGGTCCCACCTGAGCTATTGACAAAGGTAGCAATAGGAAGAAATACAGATCGTAAAGAGGGGGAAAGAGGAAAATGTACGTGGAACAAAGTGAATTAGAATTTAGCAGGTCACATAGAATTTCCATGCATATAACAGTTTAAGAATGCACTTTGAAAAACTGATTGGAATATATTAGCTCCATGGAGCTAAACTGGTGAAAGTTGGGGATGGGGAAGTGCATGCAAGAGCTGCTGTAAGCTATGGTGGCTGCAACAGGGACTTGTGACAGCAGGCTTCTGGGACCCCAGGAAAGAAGGGTGTGTGGCAAGCTACAGAGCACATGTTCCTTCTTCCTAGAATCTGCTTCCTACCCTGCACCCCAGGGTAGAAAGGAGTTTCTCAGAGCCTTCCCATGGTGTCAGGCACCGTATAGTGAAGGAAGTAGGGAAAGCCGAAAATGGTAAGGAGATCTCTTTGTGTAAGGAGAGTAAAATCCACAGTAAACTCAGGAAACTTTGCCTTTAAAGAGAGCAGAAGANCTGAACTTGTCCATTTCCTCAAGGATTTCTAATTTTCTTAGGCAAAAACAAAACAAAAACAGAAACAAAGAAGTAAGCATCCAGGGAAGGTGGGAGGGATGAAGTAAAATGTAATGCTGCGTTACATCATGAACAGCCAGAGCATATGCTATGCCTTCCCTCAGGACTGAACAAAGCACAATCTAGTTAAAGGCAAAGAAAGTACATCTATCATCATATGAACAATAAACTTTCCAACACAGTCAGAAGCTTTTTCCACAGACAAAACTGTATTCAGTTCTGTTACAGCATCACTGTCATGACCAATGAGATGAAGGGCAGAGGAGTGAAGAGCTGTTGCAGAGCCAGAGACGATATTCAGAGAATGATTACTCCATCTACTGACTTAATTCCAGCCAGGAAAAGCATCTAAAAGCCTGGCTGAGTAGAAACATAAAGATGACAATTATGTGGTCCCCAAGGTCAAAAGTGGAAAATGCATGCTCTGGTGAAGGCTGAGGATGCTCCCATAGCTTCACCTCCAGGACCTGCTGGACACGCCAAATACAAGGGTGAGCAGAGCTCAGCCTATAACCAGGGAACAATCAACCTGTTGATCTACTGAATATTTTGGATGGTCTCCAGTTTGNTGTAAGGAGAGTAAAATCCACAGTAAACTCAGGAAACTTTGCCTTTAAAGAGAGCAGAAGAGAATAATGAGTCTTTGTGTTAGGCATAGCTCTTTGTTTAAACTGGAAATAAAAACATGCAAACAAAATTGTCTGCAGGTTGCCTTTCTCTTTCCTCATTCTTCCTTCATGCAGCGCCTAACTATGCCAACACCCGGATCCTAAGAGGACATTAAATATTGGTTGATGGAGTAAGTCTCGAAATCCAGGAACAACCCAGAAATGTTTACAAAGGGTGCCTGAGAAACTTCCATTCTGAAAGCATTGTAAGTTTAGTATTCCTCAGTTAAAGAAAGATAACTAGAACCTCTAAACATTTCCTAAGCTAAATAATAAAACATTACTTGATCCCAAAATTTAAGCAGTGATTTG